ACTAGTTTGCCTAGGAGGTCAACACCAACTTCTAGTAACTTTGCTAAACTCAAAGATAGTGCTCTTATTGGTGACAAACAGACTGGTAAGAAACCTTATTATACTGTTTTACTGTTTAATATCATCGTGGGTAAGTTATGCTGCAATATATTGGTTTATTTTATTGATTTCTTTGACTTTGATTCTAATATTTTTGCTGTTTCAAAGCAAAAAAAACATTATCGTCAATCATCAACGGGTGACGGCTAAGGAGGTTGAACTTCAAGTCGGGTGTTACTTTGCCAAAGCCAAAGAAAGGGTGTCAAGACAACCTATATATAACGACCTATATATAAACGACAACATATAATAATGACCTATAATATCATATATATTAATAAACTATGTAATTAATAGTAAAGATAATTGCGTGTCATTTATAGATTTCCAATATTGATAGTATTAGGTAGTATTACAAATCAGGTAAAAAACATAAGGTGGCCACACTGTTAAAAATGGGTTGAAAATTCAGTTACTTTTCAGTACATTTTGTAAGTGAAAATTCATATTTCAAATTCATAGTTAATTCCTTTAATCTGGCGAAACCCTATTCGGCGTTTCTAACTACTTTAGTATTAAATGAAAATAATGTATCACTGTATAAAAAAAATTATAAATATATAATATAATATCAATCACAACAAGTATGTGAATGTTCAATAACAGGAATCTGAATTTTCAATTTTTCGAATTTTTAATAACAAGTCTCTTAATTTTCAGTTATGTGTGTGGAAAAAACTTCAATTAGGTACATTTTACTGAAAATTCAACTAGATTTTTTAATTGCATAATACCCAATGCAAAATTTAACTTTCCATATTTTTTTTATTTTTTGCGTTACCGAGTATTCCAAGATACCAAAAACCACGTTTGAGAATATTTATGGAATATCTATGATATATATTCCTAGAATGTGTCATGAATATACAGGCATATGGCAGGAATATTCTTGGGATATCTATAGCACATTTCAAAATTACAACTTTCTTGTCCCTGGAATATTCCCTGTGAATATTCGTGGAATATTGAATGTGCTGGATTGAATATTTTTGGAATATTCCTAGAATATCTTGTGTTATCTGGGTGACGATTAACAGACCATCCGTTTAGTCAGTTCCATTGTCATTCGCTCGCGACATGTGACCACTTTATATTGAGAAATTAGGACACTGTTGTAAAAACCCAGATAAGAGGAGATAATCTTTGGACAAACCAGAACATTTAATATTTTACGAATATTCATAATGAATATTCCAAGGACAAGAAAGTTGTAATTTAAAAATATGCTATAGATATTCCAGGAATAAAGCTCGTAATCTTCTATGAATATGCCTGTATATTTATGTCACATTCTAGGAATATATCATAGATGTGCACGCAATGTCCCATGAATATTCTCTAACAATGATTATGTTTTGAGCTATTACCAGATTACCAAATGGTATGTGATCTATTGTCCCAACAATTTTGCAATGAGTAGCATTATGGCCACCACATGGTTTTACGTGATTTGTGATACTGATCGTACCTAATACTAATAATAGTGGAAATTTATAAATGACACGTAAATACATTTACTATAAAGTATATACAGGGTGATTCAAAATTGGCGTCATTCCTCTGGAGGTGTTGTATGGCGCTGTTATAGGAGTACAGAAAAATAGTAAAAGAAATTAATTGTTATTAACAACTGAGAAATTTGCAAAAAAATTATATCAGAAATACGGCAGCAATGTTTTTCAAGGTAATCTGCTTAATTAAATTCAACAAGATTTGTTGACGAAATGTCGACCTGTGCTCATAACCTCGAATATTGGTGTTTAAAAATAAACCATATGTGTGTATGCGTGTAACGTACAAACGTGGTAGGAATGTAGCCCTTCCTCGGTATTTATTTTGCGCTTGGGAAAGTGTCAGTTATTGTGCTCTGAGAGCCCCTGGAAGGCCCTGATTCGATTATGTCCAATACTTGTTCCTTTGTGCCTGGAACCCGAAAATGGATTGTCGTCCACTATCTTGGCGTAAGTTCTTTCAGCTTTTGCTATCTTACTGTAGCATTCCGCGTGAACTAATCACATATTCGCAAATTCGTAAAATAAAATTCAAAGTAAGTCACAGTTTGACAAATTAGTGTTATTATTGACAAGGTCTATCCACCGGTAACCATCTGTTAATGACAAAAAACATCATTGCCGCTGTGACTTTTCATCAAAAAATTGTAGAAGAGCACTTTTTTGGTATCAAAAATTTTCGTAATTTGAAGCAAAGATGGGAATTTTTCTTTTTGAATGCTTAAGTATTCCAATATGCTACCAAT